AAATAGTCTGATGTTACTGGAAATGGTAAACTTATGTTGTGAAACTCAAAATAATAAAAGCATTTTTTTTCTTGAAGTTTGAAAAAAGGACTAATAAATGATAACTGAAGCTGCATGTGAAAAGGTTCTTTTTTTTATTGCTTTTTTCTGTGACTTCATTGAAGATATTTGGAAAGTTATATTAAAGATGGGTCTTTTCTTTCTTTTTGAAATACTTTGTGTTTTATTTTACAGAAAACGGCTGTCTCTACATAGTGATGGATTACTGTGAAGGAGGAGACCTGTTTAAAAAAATAAATGCCCAGAAAGGAATCTTATTCTCTGAAGATCAGGTAACAGCAAACTGCAAACTACTTCTGTAGGGTTTGATGACGATACTGTTTCCTGAGTTTTAAATTGTTTTGGTTCAGTTTGGTAGAAATGGTTGCTTAATCCAAAAGGAGGTTCTCAAATTGTGGTTCTCATTGCCATCAGTCTCTGTAGTGTCTTTAAAAGAAAAAAAAAGTAGCTGGAAATCCTGGATATGTTAATTGCAGTTTTGTCTGTGTGTGTAAGATGCTTTAAAAAAAGTTGGATTTCTTGCTAAGGAAATCAAATCTGAGAAATGAAAAATACTTAAGGACAATACAAATATTTTTAGACCTTTGACATTATTTTTTTTTCGAAGATATAACGGTACAGGATTTGTGGTTTCTAATACTGATTTTCATTTATCAGAAGGATAAAATAACGTACTTTGTAAATATATTAATATGGAATACAGCAATATGAAATATGGCAATATGAAACTTACATGATTCAAACGTTTATTTTTCCATTAGAAAAAAAGTAATATTGTATTAGAAGTATACCAGCAGATTTTTTCTTTCCTTGATGCTGGTTGTAAAGTCATTTGTACTGCAGGAGAATCTGGAATACATGAGAGGATTTGATATACAGATTTGATTAAACTAAATTAAAATACATTATGTGGGATTCCTTTTTTTTGTTGGAAATGACATGTTTCCTTATTTGTAAATTGTTCTATGCTTTTGTGTCTGCATTCAGTAGGATCTCAATTTACCTGTGGTTGAAACAACTTAGGAGTGTATGAGGTCTGTTGATGGTATTTAGAATAGGGTAATCATGAAACTTTTTGGATATAATTTATAAAACTTACTGTTTTTCTAAATTGGGCTCACTATTACAAGAACAATTTACAATGGAAAAGTGAAAATTACGCCTGGCATTATACTGTAATTTTGACATGCATGTACCTCTAGGCTGGGAATGTGAATCACTATTCACATGGAAAAGTTCTTGCCATCAGTCTCATTTTGTATTGTGGCTTTTACAAATTAAAAAAAAAAAAAAAAGTGTTTTGTTGGCTTGTTTGTAATCTTCTAGTTATATGTTGTTTATTGTTTTTCTCATTGAAATCTGCTTTGTACTATTTTTCTTTTTAGGGTAAAATACATAAAATTACTGGATGATAAGTGTTTCTGTAAACATCAGTATGGCTTTTTAGGACTCTTGCTTTATTAAATGACTACAAGAAGATTAAATGACTACATTTTCAGCAAAAATACCATCTTTAAGATGCAAGTTCCATCTCTTGAACATTTTAGCCGATCAAATTCATATCGTCTATACTTTTAGCTTTATAATATGTAATGAAACTAGTAGTCTCAGGCTTAGTATCTAATTTGGGTCATAGGCATCTTTCATTAAGAAGTTTGCATTACTGTTACGTAACGATACTGTTATGCTTTTAATTGTTCTGTGGTATGAATGAAGACAGGTTTGTGGGAAGAGGGTAAAATGTTGAGTTATAATTCTAAAACTGAGTGGATAGTATCTTTAATGGTGTAACTGGGGAAACTTTCAGATGAATAATGATGCTGATGTTGCGTTTTCTTTTATGCATAGATTCTGGATTGGTTTGTACAAATATGTTTAGCAGTAAAACATATACATGACAGAAAAATCTTGCATCGGGACATAAAGTCACAGGTATGTAGGTAGCTGTTTTTTAACTGAAATAACTTCCAAAGCGATGACGTGCTTATCTTGCTACTGTAAGTTGGCAAATTATGGGAAATGGTCTTTTTACATAAACACTTCTAATGCCAGAAACACTTCTCTTCAGAATTGTCTGGAAGAGGTTTATATGATATTTGTACAAACAGATGGGGCTATATAGTGGAGTTGCTTGAGTATGACTCATAGATTTATGTATGGGGACAGACAGTGTTCTATTTTAGACTGTGTAATGGTGTTTTCTTTAGTATCGATGAAGTAGGACTAGAGTAAGTCTGGTGTTTCATAGTCAATAACACTACTGCTAATGACTTCAGAGTGATTGAATGATCGAAAACTTTTTTCTTCCCAAAACATGTTGAGAACAAAAGGTGTGCAATTGTATGAGTGTTTTAATTAACAGACTTCTTAAAATTTCTGTGTCAAGAATATATTTTTAACCAAAGATGGAACGATACAGCTGGGAGATTTTGGGATCGCCAGAGTTCTTAATAGGTAACTCCTTTTTGATGCTGTTTTCTCTGACTTCATGTAAATCACTTTGATCTAAGAAAACACGATCTGTGCGCTTCATGAGAGTTAACTAGTTAACGTTCATTCCTTCTTTTTTACTTAGTACTGCGGAGTTGGCTCGTACTTGCACAGGAACACCATACTATTTGTCGCCTGAAATATGTCAGAACAGGCCTTACAACAATAAAAGGTACTAATAAGCATTTTATTAAACGTTTTTGGTAGGAAGAATAAAGTGAGTTCTTTAGAAATCTAAAGCTGTTTTATCCATATGATGGTGAGCAGCGTTAGTTCATCTCTTACCAAGAAGTTACTGAGCCTCACTCTGCAAGTGGGACCTTAGTAGGTCTGTGCAGTACAAAGCAACGCGATGCAGAGATGACTTACCTTGGTGCTCGGGGTTCTAGAGCTGTGTAGTTGTACTGCCTTGACTTACGCGGTATGAATGTGCAGCCATGCAAAGGATGAAGTCAGGCACAGTAATTGGATTCTCTAAGCACACGCACAGACAGGTGACTCAGCTTCCTTCAGATAAGAAAGTCACATGTTTATCCTGGCAGTAGGCTGTATCTGGTAACGGTGTGCCTGACGTAATTAACATGGTTGTTCTCAAGTTAGTCTTATGCTTCGTTAAGCTGCTGCATCCTTTGCTGTGACAGACTTATACTAATTTCAATTGGTATCTTAAAAGCTAAAAATTATTGTGATTCCTTGTCCCTTAATTTCCCCTACATGGGATTTATTATCTAATGGTATTCTAACCAAATTCTGTAATCCTATAATGAGTGGGGGTAAGGTAAGCCCATGTTAAACAGAATAAATTTAGACTTCAAGAATTGTACTTGCTGAACTGGGTAGTGGTTTTTGTTTGGTTTTTTATTTGTTTAATTCAAAGACCTCAGGCAAACGTATACGTCTGAAGAAAAAAAGCCTTTGTCCGTAGTTTGTCTAATTTTTCCAGTTGAGATGGTTCAGATGAAAAGGTCTAAATAAAATCTGGAGTCAAAATAACCCCATCTGGTTTTCAGGTTGGCCTTATTTTTGGTTGTTGAATTCTGGTTTTTTGTTTGGGATTTTGTGGTTTGGGAGGATGGAAGATACAAGGGAGCTTGCACATGCTCAAAATAGAGCCTTTTCCTTTTTGAAGATAGACTTCACAGATACGAGTTACCTGGCAATGTTACACCTGGAACTAATTCTTGATTATGTTCTTTTTGGTTTAGTGATATCTGGGCCCTTGGTTGTGTTCTCTATGAAATGTGCACACTTAAGCACGCGGTGAGTAGAAACTTTCTGTTTCTTTAAAAGAATAGTGATTTCAAACAAAGATTTTTCCTGATGCTACGCAAATGTGTTTCAGTTGAGAAAGACTTTCATGGTGACTGTTTAAAATTACCTTCAAGATTTTAGTCTTCTCTTCCTATACCGACCAACACTTTCCATCTGTGTTTTGGTTCATGCCAATCTCTCCAGAAACCTTAGCGCTGTATATTTTGGTTTCAATGTAGGCTTTTAATGAGCTGTATTAGCGGAAAAAATTGTGAGCTGCTGTAACAAACAATACTGTGAATAGTATTCCTTTCCTTTCCAAAAACTTGACATTTTCGTTGAAAGTCTGAATTTGGACTGTTGACTTTTCTGCAGATGGATTAATGCATTTCTGTTTAGAACAAAAATAGTTCTTAGGAAAAACTCTCAAGGTGAAAGAGTTGCCTTCTTTTGTGTGTGTGCGTGTGTGTTGTTTTGAAGAATACATCTTTATCATTCATTTTCCAGTTAGGAAGGGAAGAAAAAACATTTTTTTCTGTCTTGTTTTGGTTGCAGTTTTATTACATTTTTTCTTTAAATGGATATTTTTATTAGAAGAAAAGATGAAAATCAGAAGAAAAATTTCAAGGGATAAGGATTTCATTTCTGTAATTTCTTATTGCTTTGTCTTTTCTGTGGCAGCAATGCTGATAATGTTGCCTTTCTGAGAGTCGATGGCAATAGGTTGTTTTCTGTGAGCTAGGTGATATGCACTGTTTTCTTCTTATTGTACAAAGAAATTGAAATGGTGTGCTCTGTTTCCTGAGCTTAAGCTGAAGTCTAAGCATTCCTTTGGATTTTACACTGAATGAGTGTGAATGCTTTACATTCTTTCATTTGAAATGTGGCTTCACTAAAAAGGGCAGAAGGCATGTGATGATTGAAAGCATTTGGGAGAGGAGATCAAGCAGATAATTATATGATTATTTTATTCTTAATTCTATGTCGTTGTCAGTCTATATCTGGAGGGAAATAATAATTTGTTAGCAAAATCGATGTCTCTATAGTATGAAAAATCTGTATTATGATGTATTTGTAATCAGAATACTTGACAGCAGATTCTTTTAAACTGCTAATGTAAAACATTGGTGACCTTGGAAATTTGTTTTGGTATGGTGAGGCAAGGGAAGGTGTGTTGTTCTTTTGTTTTACTCTTCATCTTTATATGCAACCTTGCATGTGGACAGACAGTAAGTAATATGTAAGTAACTGTTTTCTTTCTTGTGTGCTGTAGTTTGAAGCTGGTAACATGAAGAACTTGGTACTGAAGATAATATCTGGACGTTTTCCTCCTGTTTCTGTGCATTATTCCTATGACCTACGTAATCTGCTGTCACAGTTATTTGAAAGGAATCCTAGGAATAGACCATCAGTAAACTCCATATTGGAGAAAACTTTTATAGCCAAACGGGTTGAAAAATTTCTCACGCCACAGGTACGGAGTAAGTTTTAATTCTGATTTTGCTAAAAACACCGTAGGACTTTTCTTTTTCTTTATTCCAATGTTAATATACAACATGAGAAATTGGACTAATGGTATTCCCTAGAGCTTTTATAGGGACACTTTCAGTTGAGGAAAAAAGTTTTGCTATGAACTGTAAAGAAAAATCTCAAGTTACTGAAGTATTTGGTAGTTTCCACAAACAACTTTAAATTGGCGTTTCCTTAAGTGCATTATTTTGTGTGTTTTTCTATATAGCGAGGAATTACGAGTGAGATGTTGATTTGGTTAGATACGCATTTTTTCATAAAATGGTGCTGTCCATGACTTCAGCATCACTGCTTTATCATAATATCTTCAATGACAGGAAATCAGTCTTCAAGTTTGATGTAAATTCTTCCTTAATTTTCATAGTTACTAAGTTACAGTAAAGAGTAGATCTAAATTAGCATCACTTAAAAAAAAATGGGCTTTTTGAAAGGTACTGAAGAGTCATTTTTCTTTTCTGTCAGTAGCTGTGTTATCATGGAATCATCACGCTTCAGTTCTGGCAGCTTACCACCCAAATAAAAGCTTCAAGATCACTGGAATACCATTAGTAGGAGAACGTTCTGATGTGTGACTTACTGCTTAGAGAATCTTTTGAAGACAGACTGTACAATTTAAAAAGTTTCTCTGCCATCGTGTGCGGAGTCCTAAGTTCTGCACATTGGTTCTTGGGGTTTTTTTTTCAGTTTTAACTCCTTAGCATCCATTGTAACTGACTGGTAGCCTCTTAGCAAATCATAATTATCTGGATAGTTCAAGATTCTATAAAGATTGTTCCTTAAAACCTTGTGTTTTAGTGACTATTCAGTTAACATTGCTTTCAGTTGTTGTCAGAATGTTAAGTAACATGTTCATGGCGTGCTACATCTCTGGAAAGGTGGTCTGTAGTATGGTCATTATCTGTCTGCAAGTACCTCTACTGTGGTGAAAAATACTTTTGCAGTTCCCATCCTTTGAGTATTCTGTATTGGTAGTCAATCAATAGATTTCTCATCCATGAGCTTATCTAATTTCTTCTTGAACTTTTGTAAGTTTTTATGATCCGTAAGAAATTTCACAGATCTGCTACTTGTTGCTGAAAGCATCTTTGTTTATTCTAAACCTTCCTCCTTGTATTCATTTGTACCTCACTTAGACTGATGTTATCGTTTGCACTCCTTGTGTGTTTCTTTGCTTTCTCTGCAAAATCATGTGGTATTCTAGACCTTCTAGACATTACATCTCAGTTGTCTGTTTATAGGCTGAAGAGCAAGCTTATTTATGTTTTGTACTGAAGCTTTTCAATGCTTTTAATTATCCTCGCGGCTCTTCTTTGAACATTTTTTGTTTCTACTACATGGTTTTTGAGGTGCTGGATTCAGAACTACATACACAGTATCCAACAATGGGAGGTGGTGGCCTTTACATGTTTGAATGTTCTTTGTCTAGACTCCAATATTTTTACTTGAGTAAGAAAGACTCTCGTCCACATTTTTTTATGCTAGTTTGATGTGCCTGACAGCACAGTGTATATGTTGTTGGTAGATATCCGCATACACATTCATCTTCTCATCTTTAAAAGGTTAGAGAAACTAAAAACTACAAACATTTCTAAAGGACTCTTCTTTTTTGACACAAACTGAGAATTTGAAGTGAAATTTGGCAACTGTACAGAAATCTAAAATGAACTATGCTTAAAAGTATGTTGATGCTCACATTAACTTTCTTCTAGATTCTCAGCTAGTTCATGAATGAGGTAACGTGCTACCCAGTGTAGTGGAAGTTTATTAAATAAGGACTGATTACTGCTTATGAAAGGTTCTTTGATCATGTGTTTAATTAGGAATTGTTTAACTCGGACAGTGAGCTCAAGGAGCTCAAGGACAAATGTAAATTGCATTTAATGAATCTGACACGTGGTGCTTGTTCTGGGCCCCTGAACAGACAGGATGTGAGCAGGACCATCCGGACAATAAATATTGTGTGCAGCTGTGTCATGACAGTAACTCGATCACGTCCGGACATCTGGCCAATGTCCTGGCATGTGTGAACCTTATGGATCACGAAACAGCACACGCCTGCACTTGGCACAAATGTAAGAGCTTACATACACTAGTTACGTCAGCTGGTTTTGTTTTTGCTGAGCGTAAAGGTGGGCAAGCTCTGGGACTGGGCCAGAAGCCTCACCAATGGGTGAATGCACTGCACAGTACTTCCAGTTACTGAGAAACTCCTGGCAGTGGCTGCAATGGGGCTTCCCAGCCGAAGTGTGGGCCTGGATGATGTTATTAAGGTGGTAATTGGTGGTGTATCCATTTCTCAATCACTGTCATGCTTTGCAGTGATGATTTGATGCATCACTCATATTGCTCTTTTATCATATTGTGCATAATAACTAGTACCGTTTCCTTTTATCATATTACATGTCATTGTCCTTTATTATATTGTAATATAATAAACTACATTTATTTTTACATTTAATTTGGAGTCCATTTTGACTTGGTGTCCAGCCAGTCAGCAAAACACCCAGAAGTCAGACTAAATTGCTTTTGTAAAATTATTTGAGTAGTTATGCCGAAAGTATTTGAAAGTACTGAATCCAGCTTGTATTCATGTTAGTGATACAAACTGAATACACAAAGTTGAATATTCATTTAAATTTAAGTTACAGTAAATACTATTAGTTAGATGCTTACTGGGAGCGGCACATTTCTCTGAAAAGGAGTTTGTTTTAGCTTCGGACATAAATACTGTTGGCTAACTGTTCAACTTTTTGTTTAGCTTATTGCAGAAGAATTCAATCACAAAATCTTCCAGAAGTTTGGACCACATGCTGCACCAGGTAAGTAAATGTGTAAAGTGCCTTTGCTTTCAGCTCTGGCAAGATAGCGTGTGTAACTTTGTTCTTTTCTTGGTTTTGGTGTGTTCTTTTACCTGATTCCAGAAGTTTCAGGAAAAAAGAGAGGGAAGCAATTTTCCCCTCTTCCCCAAGGAGCTGGATGTCTGTGGAGTGCAAATGATGCAAGTATAAACTATGGTCCTGTAATATTTTAGGTGTACTTTTTCCTCTTGCACTATGCTACGCTTCCAAAATTGAAGGAGACAGTGAAGACTGCAAAAACTGGAAAGAGTTTATATGTTGTTATTGTATGACTGTATTTTTTTCCCTTACTAATGACAAATGGATAATGAGAAATACCATTTCTTGTTAAAATGTGGGAGATTTTCTTAGAGGTTCCAGGATTAAGCCCTGACTTCAGGCCAAAGCAGTAGAATTTCTACTACTGGTAGCTAATTAGCTCCTGGTTCACTTTGTCAAGATAGTCCTATTTTACTTCATTTTTGTACGTTATTTTACCCCTTTTTTCCTAGATTTTCTTCCCCTTTGTTTTATTTCCTTGTAATTGCCTGAAGCTGTTGCAAGTGCTTTGATGTCTTCTCATAGTGTTGTGTAAACGTTTCATTGCTGTCCTGCTAGTCTGTAGTAAGAGAGCCCTGCTAGCACAGAATCAAATCCACAATATTGGCATGTTTTCATGAAATCTATGGGGAAAACGATATCCCTGAAGGCTATCGGAGCTCTTCGAGAACTCATCTTCTACTGACATTAGTGTTGCAGTTGCAGTGCAGTGTCATTAGAGGAGAGCCACCTGTCTTCCATTCGATGAGGAAAACTTTTCCCTGTGTCCATGACAACTGGATAATAAAGCATGGCAGCTGAAATAAGCTTCAGTCTGACAGTTTCAAGTGAAGTGTTGAGAGTGAAAAGCTCAGGGATCGTGTTCTGCTGTATCTTACCAAGCATGAAATTTAGATGAGCTGTTTTGGACAACTGGGTAGATTGCACTTAAGCAGCAGCTCAAGTGAACAAAATGTTGGCAGTTCACTCATTTTCCTCCAGCTTTGCTGTTCCAGGACCTTGGGAAGGGAAATACAGTACAGTGGCCAGCCTGGAGAGCCATAAGCCATTTTTTTTTCTTTTTAGCTAAAAAAGCAGCTCAAGAACAAATACGGACTTCAGTTGCACCAGCTCAGGAAATTACCAAACCTGCTGCAAAATATGGAGTGCCTTTAGGCATCAGGAAGTCTTGTGATGCATCTAAAAAGCCTAAGGAGAAGAAGCCGTTGACTAAATCTAGACAAGTAAGAAGCTAAATTACTTAAATTGAACTGTTTTGCTCATAGCTTATTTGAGTTCTATGAAAATACTATGCGTTCCTTTTCAAAATGTTTTTTATGTGGACACATGCATCTGCAGAGGAAGTAGAGTAATTTAAGTGCCTGGCTTGCTTCGTTAATGATTTTTTGTTTGTTTGTTTAGTTAGTATTAATATAATTATTTTTGGAGGCTGTGACCTTGGTTCGTTTTTAATTCCACTGCTGAATTACATGTGCTTTGCATGTTTTCAGTTCCTTTGTTGGTGTTGACCACTCTTAGAAATAGTGGAAGTTGGTCAGGTATACTGAGATTATCAACACCAGATAAGAATCTTTGCATCTTTCTGCCTTGTTGAAAAAGAATCTCAAATTTTCAAAACATAGACAACTTTTTTTAGTCATTTTCTAAAGCATTGTCAGTCAGAGAAATTGTATAATTGGAAGAGGAGTTTCCCAGGCTTAATTCCATGAGCTAATAAGAAATAGTTTTGTGTATATCTGTCATGATATAACTCCAGCCAACAACTAGGCACCACACAGCCACTTGCACTCCTCCTCCTCCCGGATGGCATGGGGGAGAGAATTAGAAGGGTGAAAGGGAGAAAACTCATAGCTGGAGATGAAGACAGTTTAATAGGGAAAGCAAAAGCCACACACGCAAGCAAAGCAAAACAAGGAATTCATTCACTCCTTCCCACTGGCAGGCAAGTGTTCAGCCATCTCCAGGAAAGCAGGGCTCCATCATGTGTCATGGTTACTTTGAAAGACAAATGCCATCACTCCCAGTGTCTCCCTCTTCCTTCGTCTTCCCCCAGCTTTACATGCTGAGCATGATGTCTTACAGTATGGAATATCCCTTTGGTCATTTGGGGTCAGCTGTCCCAGCTGTGTCCCCTCCCAGCTTCTTGTGCACTCCCAGTTTACTCACTGGTGGGGTGGGGTGAGAAGCAGAAAAGGCCTTGGCTCTGTGTCAGCGCTGCTCAGCACTGACGAAAACATCTGTGCATTATCAACATTGTTTTCAGCACAAGTCCAAAACAGAGTCTCATACGAGCTACTGTGAAGAAAACTAACTCTCTCCCAGCCAAAGGCAGCACAATACCTTCGTACATTACTTTTGATCTTTCTTCCAGTCATCTTGTCTGTATTCCTTACTACATAAAACTCTTCCCCCTGCCCCATTCCTTTAATTACTGCACAGCCAGGAGATGCTTATGATGCAACTAGTTTTGAGCTGTATGCATGTGTCAAACAACTGGCAACTAAGCAGCTCCCATTTCAGCAAGAGAACTAATGCACATTTTCTTCTGAATGAGTGACATCTTTGTTGTGGGTTTTTTGGTGGGGTTTGGAGTTTTTTTTTCTTTCCTGCTCTCCACGACACTTCAGGGAATGTAATACTGAGTTCTCTATCCATCTGTCAAATTTGATAGGTGGGTAGAAATTTATCCCTGAGATAAAACTTAATCGTTGCGGTTCAAAAGTTAATGGAGGTTTAGGAAAAAACTTACTGATTACACATGCCTTGTTGGCTTGTGATGCACAGGTTGAAAAAGAGAACAAGAAGAAGGGAATGCACAGACTTCTTTTGTGTCCTTATGAGACAATGAGGTTTTTATGTTTTAAGGCATGGTTGAACAACCATCTGCTAGTCTGCTACTCTTTATAATCAGTTTCACTAGCCATCACCAATCCAACTTGCATAGAGACTCAAAGTGGCAGGTAGAGACTGAGGAAATATCCTTGTGCTGCATGTAAGGAGTTAGTAACGTTTCAATTTTAAGACACATTCTTTGTGCGGATTGTACCTAGTGACAAGGGATAAGATGTAGGATAGAAACAATGGCTACAGTGTAATAGACATTTTCTTCTCTCTGCTGCTGTTCCAGGGTAGTCTGAGCTCGCAGCTCTTGACTGGCTTTTCAGAGGAGCACGTAACATCATCTCCATTGTTTAGTGATGTTCTGTTAACGTACTGTTGTTCAACTACATTGACTTAAGTCTCTAAAGGCTACTGTCTTCTGAAATACTTGATTTTAAAGTACTCATTTGATAGGAGTTTTAGGTCATTGAAAGAAAATACTATCAAACTCTGTGTTCCAGTACAATCATGAAAATAAATGCTTTAAAGGTAACCATCACTTTTTGGAGAAGGCTAACCTAGGCAGCATAGTTTGTAACGTATAGGTGGTACTTTACCAAGTATTCAACAGTGGCTGCATTCTTTTCCATAGGTAACAAGAACCTTGGTTGAAGTTACCCAAGCGAAATAGCCTAAGAATAACCTAAGAAATCTGTTCTGCAAATAAAAGACAATCTTAACATCTAGGGACCCTCAAAGACTTATAATAGGAACAGATTGTAATGCAGAATGGTACTGCCAGGGAAGAAAAAATTAAGAGAAAACAGGTTTTAAAATTACTGCCCTCAGCTTTCAAGACAGTGCTTTTAATGGAGGATGAACAAGTACAGTACCATTCACCTCGAGCTGCTAGCAATGCTTTTCATTTAAAACTTCCTGAATATTTAATTATTTTAAACCCCATTTTGCACCTACTAAGTTGTAGGCTTAAGATTTTTTTTTTCTCTTTAGAATTTTTCTCTTATTCTGGCATCGTGCTATCTAATTTGAAGTTTCACCTTTTATCCAGGCCTTTCCAACTCCAATGAAGAAAATGAATCCAGGAGAAAAAAGGAGGAAAATGTTTGAGGTATCACAAAGTCATCTGTTAATTTTCAAACTAAGCAAAAGCTAAGTACAGAGCCAGAATGACAAAATAAAACCTTCAAACCTTTCCTCCTTCTCTTTTTATCCAAACATTATGTAACAATCTGTAAAAAAAAAAAAATAGATTTTTCAATCTTTATGGACATGTACCTGCAATTGGAGCACTAACCTATCTTGACAGAGACTTGACAGAATAATGGCTCAGTAATAAAAGCCAGATTGTATGCTTATTTTTCAGGAACCTTCGAAAAAGAAAAGGTTAGAATTGCCTGAAAAAGAAAAACGCCAGAGAGATCAGGTAGACAAGATTCTTGACACTTTTCTTTTTCCACCCATGGTAATTTTAATGAAATATCTTGTGGTATGGTGTGTCATACGTTGCGTAAGAATATGGAGTGATCCTATTTCTCAGTTACTAAGCTTGTTTAATCCTTATCCATTGCAGATCAGTTTACTGAAAGCAGATGAAATGAGAAGATTGGAAAAAGAAAGGGTAAAATGTCTTTAAAATGTGTTAATAGTGAAGTTCAAGGTTTACTTAGTGATTCCTTGAATTATGTTTTCCTGTATTGTTTTCTCCTTCAGATGGAACGAATAAACAGAGCCAGGGAACAAGGATGGAGGAATGTGCTTGGTTCAGGTGGAAGTCGTGATGTTAAGGTTGGCAGCAGATGCAGAAATGTGGTGTAGTCTGTTCCCCCCACCTTTGGTTATCTGGCATGGTCTTCTCTTTTCAGAAAGATCTGCTCTTGGAGGTCAACTCTGGGGCTGCCCATTATTAATCTATGGTTAATTTAAGAGAAACTGTATAACAGACTCTCTTCCTGGCTTTTGGAGATCATGTGCAATTTTCATTGTTAATACTTACTAAGTTTCTGAATCTTTTCTCCTTCTGCCAGTAATAGTTTTCATGCACTACTTTGTTTTTTCCACTCCTGCTTTTGCTACTTTTCCTGTGCTGAATCTATGCATGAACAGCTTCTCTCACATTCAAGTTTGTTCTTGAATTCTTTTGTTGAAATCTTTTCCCAGGTTCTCCTATCATGATAACAGACCTCTTCCCTACTGTTAAACACGTTCTTTATTATTTAGCAACAGAAACAGCAATATTTATATATGCTGATAAGTTGTTCAGGAGGGGGGTGAAAAATCCTGAGTAAATCTAATTTTTTTTTCTGAAAGCAGTAAACTCTTTAGCCATTCACTTCTTACATAATTTAATTACATAATTTAATCTGGTTTCTTACGACAGTTTTTTTTTGCCTGTTTGTGCGTGTCATAGTTTCATGGAAACAACTCTTCTGGGAAGTAGTCTTATGAAGTTATTTGAATATAAAGGTCTGGGTACTTTCATCAGACAGAGCCGGGGCAGGAATTTAAGTATTGCTGTGGTGTAAATCTATTTGATAATAGAAAATGGATTAAAACACAGCTATTTGTTGTGGTGGTAGTGAGTCTTACAAAAATCCTTGGCCTAAACATGTTTAGTAGGGTTTTTGTAAACAAGCTCCAACTGAGCAGTAGAGTCAAAATGAATAGAGGTTTTATTTCTGTGCCTTGTGCAAGAAAGTGAGGAATACACAAGCGCTTGACTAGGTTTCAATAGCTGCTTATTAAGGATATTATTTCAAAATAGACATCATCTTTGATGTGTACCACACAGCGTATAAGTAAAGCTTAAATCTAAAAGCAAACTTAAGCATACCAGACTTGAAAAACTACCAGGTGCTGACTTAATGGAAAAATAAAAAAACATCATTTGGTTCCTGTGCCATCCTTCTCTCTCTCTGAAGATGAAACTGGCAGGCACCAATGCAAGATTCCATTCAACACCATATATCAGCATCATCATGTTTGGATCAGAGCTATATATGTTCCTGGCAACAATCATATTCCTGAGTAACTTTGAGAATTTAATTGCAAAGTCCTTAGACATTGCAAATGTATAAAGAGTTCTGTTGTAGCTACAGCTGCATCGTTATCAGTATTCTCAGTCGTCTAGGGAAAGAGGTTCAGTGGCTGTGTATATTTCTGCTAAGTGTCACTGATGTAAAATATCATGGCAAACACTTCAAAATTCATTGAAAATTCTTTTCAGATTGGATAGTTTAGTGCAAAACTTACTGCAGGCCACTAGGTCACTCCAGATTTCCATATACTGTTATAGTATTCCTGACTTTGTTATCCTTTTACTTTCCCCAACATGAAAATAGAGTATCCAGAAACTCCCTGATGATGCTGTCGAATAGCATTGTTCGAGCTTTCCAATGATGCAAGCTCATCATGTACCTAAGAGGTACAGCCTCTTAGGAAGGCACAGCAGGGTCATGCACTGTGTGATTTTCTCCTCCTGTCATCTTTTGGGATTGGTTGCTGGTACCCATTTCTGAGGGAAATTAGGGGAAAAGGATTTCACTTTGGGTTTGTGGTTCTAGCAGGGGCTGTCGCTGTTCTGCAGACTGTTGATGAGCACTGCTTCATACCGTTTGCCTAGAGATTGATCATACTATTTCTTTAGATAATCCTTTTGAAAATTGAGCTCTAATAATGACAGATGAAACCTTGGATAGTGTCTAAGACAAGACTTTCCCTTCTATTTGTAGAAACTATAGTCATATATAATAAATTATTTTTATTCAGATAAACAACATACCTGCATATTTATTTGAATGCCTGGATAAATCTTTCCGTTAGCATTCTGTCCTATGGATTATGGGGAGCTATTGATGGGTGTCGAGCAACTGAAATTCAGAATGTGAGTAAACCCCCTTGTCAAGTATAATCTGTTCAAGACCTAAGTAGGCAATCTTAAACCTGTCACATCTGCACTCACCTATGTGAATTTATTTAAAGTACTTAAGACCACTCTGGAAGGAACACTGACACTATTGTTAAAGTAAATTCCATAGACTCACTCCCATGGGCTACGTGACTATGTCCCCCAGGTGTAATGGGAACGTTTTTACGCATGTGCTGACAACCTTAACCTTGTTTTGCCAGTTTCACGTTTTCTGCATCCATCCTTGGCTACTACTCTACACAGCTGCTTGCAATGTTTATTCTTTTATTATTTTCACATGAAGGTTCTGTAGGAATTCTGCTTCTCTGAGAAGGACAAAGATAGTTGGCATAAAGCGGTAGCTTATGGTAGATACTCCCCTGATCTGAGCTTTAGTAGGGCAGCATGTGAATTCTGGTGATGAAACCGAGTTACAGGTTGGTAACAATGGGGATTCTCAGATGTGTCTGCACTTAATGCCATTCAGCCACCTTAGTGTGCTTAACCATTTCCAGCTTCATGAAAAAAATGGGTGTTTGGCTACAAATCATTCATTAGTACTTCAGTTAGTACTGCATCACTTGTAGCTTTTGTGCTAAAACTTTGATTTTTGCTGTGTAGAACATGTGTCTCCAATTACACTTCAATGGATTTGTTACCAATAACTTCCAAAATGTGTGATAAATGTCTCGTGTGACTAGACTGCTATCGAAGGGAAGTAAAATGCTGTGTTATTCTGGAGCGCTACCAGAAAAAATAAGCTTTTAGTTTATCAATCTTGTCGTTCATAAAAATAGAGGCATGCCAGAAATAAAACTAGGATCAGTTCAGAATTGTTGCAGGACATATTAATGCTTTTACTCTGCTTAAGAGGTGAAAATTGGAAGGGCTTGTTAAAACCAGCATTTGAGATTTCCACCCTACCCCTTCTGATTTCCAGACACCATATTATGGCGGTGGAGGTGGCGTTGGTCCTTTTCCTGTGTCTTCCAGAAGACAATATGAACACTACCATGCTATTTTTGACCAGATGCAACAGCAAAAGGAAAACATTAGAGGAGCTGAAGAGAGGGAAGCCAAGTTGAGGGCGAAAGTACAAGGCCGAGAAGCTGTTGAAAGGTATGGCTACCTTCCGTTAGAAGTTGCATGTGGACTGCTTTAGGTGGAAGTAATTCAAGTTACTGTACATCTTTATCTACAGAGGAATTCCACCTGGAATACGTCCAGGAGTTCCTAAGCGGCCTGCAGGTCATCACCATTTACCTGATGCTGGTGCAGTTAGGAAAAAAATGAAAAGATTGAAGGAGGTGTCTAAACAAGCCAATGCAAACAGGTTGGACTATGATAATCCATAAATCTGTCCCTACATGTTAGATTTTTCTTCTGTGGCTTGTTTCATTTAGTAGTTGGACATGTATCAAACTCACTTTTATCCATTGGTACTGTGTCGTCTGTTTGTGTGTTAGTCCCTCGCAGACCACAATTCTTTCAGAACCAATGGAAACCTTGGCTGCTCCGATAGTGGAGAAAATGGGTTACTGACAACTGTAACTAAACTAGATCTCAGCCAAAATTCTTGGCTTAGTGCAGTTGCAGATAACATTATAAGCCTCCTCCTTTGCTTTTTTCATACTTCCACTTTTTGTGTTACCTGCCAAAATGCTTCCTTCTCCTGTCATTTCATTCTGACTGCTGTGTCTACATTGAAGTGTTTGACTCTGTAGCATAGGAGAGTGTCTAGAATACTCCCAGAACTGCCAGCTCCTGTTTATTGGTCAGTGGAAAACTTGTAGGAACTTGTTTTGTCAAGATGTGAATGCCAGGTGTTGTAATGGTGTGCAGTTTCTAATTTGGTCATGCTTATTCTTTGCAATTACAATAGACTGAGTATTTTATATATAAAAGCATTATAAAGAAGTATTGATTTTTTTTTTAATTATTTCACTTTTTGAAATAGCTTTTTGAAAACTTCTTTTCTCTCCTTGAGACCTGTTAATATTGCCCCAAGAACTGTGCACTTCTGAGCAGTGAATGGGAAAATGTCTTTTTTCTAGAAGCTTAGTATGTTAGTGTTACTAACTAACTAATTTTCCTAGAGGGACACATTTTCTCATGCATTATTTAAACTTCTGCAGATCTAATGATGTATCCCATGGAGGAAGAAAGAAATGGAGTTAATGTGAGGAAAAGGAAGTCGCAAAATAAAACATTTGTTCTTCTAAACTAATCTTCAGTTTTATGTTTTAATACAATGTATTCTGCCTTTGTAGACTTTTTTCTGGTTTAAAATTTGCAGCAATAATGTTACACATTTAGCACTGATGTTACAATTTTACAAGCTACAAGGTATATTTTATTTTCTTTATAGTAATTTGGGTTGTTGTGAGCTATGAAAATTCCTCCTGGTACCACCCAGTACTGGCAGGTGCATTTTCCTTGCTGATGCAGATGCGTATTTCCATCCTCCTCTGTTTTCAGTGCTTTGCACAAAGTGCCACAATCCCCAGATCTTGCCTAAATTGGGAAACACTTGATTCCCTTTCATATTTGATGATATTAAATGATACTTGGCTACACCCGAGTAGACTGTTTTAAATGTGTTAAAATTGAGAGGAGCTATAGTACAGGGATGCAAATTATGAATAACGTGGAGATCATGAAGAGAAACTGATTCAGTATTTCTCATACACATGACCTTGCAAGCACTCAGTGAAAATACTGTGCAGAAAGTTCAAAATATGTAGAGGTTTGGGGTTTTTTTCTGTTAGTAAACTGGCTTACCGTTAGCCTTAAATTGAGGTGCTGTTTCTTAGCATTTAAAATGTGATAAGTACTTGTGCTTTATTCTCTAGAAGCAATTTTATTATCATAGCTAGCCTAGCAGTATGTCTTTCCTGCACTTTAATCTTTCAGCTGGAGGTGAAATAAAAGCGTTCAGGATGTTTAGCTCAAACAAAGAATTTAAATAATTGCAACTTTCTTAAAGATAGGTAATTCAGAGCATATATTGAAGAAGTTGAGAAATCCTCAAGTTGCAATCTTTCCAATTACACTACCACAACTAACATAAAGCTAAGTATATTCAACATCAACAATCTTTAAAAATTTTCTCTTGGACAGAAATGCAACCCCGAAAAAATCTAGTTGAAATGTTTTAGCAAAATTAGTCACTTGACTTTAGAGTAGGGAAAACTGTTTTCGCAAAATTTAGCTGAAATGAGTTTTTCCTGTGAATTTAGTTTGTGACAAATAGGTTTGGGTTTTTTTTTCCCTTGGGAAGCACCTCTCCTCTAACACTGTAAGCTGAACTTCAGCTGTGAGAGACACAGGTTTGGACGGGTGTCACTATCCACTGATTGAGTTCATGTGTAATGACAGTTACAGTAAATATCTTGTAATAAGTCAAAAATGTGTATGCAAATATTATCAAGTGTTTGTTTCTGAACTATTAACACCGACATGGATCATCTTGCATTTTCAGAGCAGCTGCAGCGTTTGTTTTATTCTGTCAAAGTAGTTTTATCTCAGTCTTCCTCTTAATGAACTGTAGCATTTGGAAATACTTCATTTCCTTCTTGCTTGAGGTGGGGGTGAGAGGAGAAAAAAAACAAGATGCAAGGATGTTTAATTAGTGTTCCAATTCATTTATGGATTACTAGCAATAGCTCCTGTATCACAAAATGATTCTTTCTTTAACTGTCTCAGCCTGATGGGTTATGGCTTTACGCTTATTCCACTTGATTGCTGCCTGTTACTGGACCCCTGATACTCCTCAGTCAAACAAGACGAGGGGAACCTTGGAAAGGGGATTATCTCATCGTTCTACCATTTGTTATAATATCTTACACCATTTCTCAGTGTTTGGTTTTTGTTTTAATAGAAAGCTTCCTCTAAGTCCACTTCTAACCAATTTGTCAGTAACTGGTTCCTCTACAAAATGATCGTATATATGTACCAGGAGACTTGCTAGATGCTCAGTTACACTTGACCATAGCTGCCTTCTCTACCCAAGCAGGTCCCTGACCTGGAGTGGAATACGTGAGAAAAACATCTTGTTCTGGCTAATTCCAGGGTAGGAGAATTCCTTCACGGTCCTTTTAAAAACAAAGAGAAATCCCCCAAGATTCCCCAAAAGGAGTTGCCAGAACACTCCGAGAATACTGGCATTGTACTAACTATCTAAGTGGCAGAAGCTTTTACTCCAGATACAGGTCTGTCTTGAAAGACTGCAGCAGTCTTGACCTTACTGACTGAGTCGGGTGATGAGTTCTTGCTCATCTCCGAAGGGAAACGTTGAAGGAGTCAGCTTTTTCACAAACAATAACAATAATGAAACAAGCTGAGACATTTTCAGAAATAATCACACTGAGATCGCGTTTGACGTTCCTTTTTGGTTTGATGACCAGGATCTGGAAGGACAACGCGGTGTTTTGGTGGTTTTTTTTAAATTGTTCTTTTAAATTAGTTCAGCCTATTTTCCTCTGTTTTGTGGAAGCCTTGACTTGTATTTTGGCTGATGAAAGGCATGTTTTGAAGATGCCCTACTCATAGAAAGTTACTTTTTTTGTGTGTGTCTGTCTTAGAATAAATGCAGGGGGGTTTTTTGAGTGTCCTATTTCAGAGACTTTGATCTTGCTATGTGTTACAATTACTCAGGCAAAAAGGATGGATAGCAGCAGATAGAGCAAAGCAAGTTGAAGAATTCTGGCAACGGAAGAGAGAAGCCATGGAAAACAAAGCTCGAGCTGAGGGACACATGGTATGCAATCTGGTCTTCCTATCTATATTACTGTTTCAGCGTGCTTTATGAATCTTTGAAATAGCGTCATAACCATGAAATGCTGGCTAAATATTTTCCTTATTTTTTTTAAAAAAGAGAGAATGAGAGGTAAGGTTTTTTCCATTTTGTTACTGATTTTTATGAAAATGTAACATAATAGTGCAATACATTTCTCATGACTGCAATCTATTAACAAAGGAAAGTATCTTTTTTTGCATGTGTCTGACTTGATGTTGTGAATTTTAGAACATTCACTTTTTTTTCTATTCATAGCTTTAAAGTTTTGGTTAAAATTAAACTTTATGTACTATTCAGTAGCTAGAACCTAAAATGACATTTGATTAAACTGATGCAGCTAATGATCACAGTAGTGTGTTTTCCAAAAGCACATCCTGCTTATTGAGAAGGTATTATAACGACATCCATCTCTGCCGACAATGACGTTTCTAAAACCTCTACTCTTTACCGATTAACTAGTGGATGGTGTCACAAAATGTTCTTTGTTATTTATGCTTGCAGTTCTAAATTCAGTATTCCATTAGAAAGTTTGTTTTGCCGTGAAGATATCTTGGAAATGACTGATTTGCACTAGGAATTTGTGTGGTTGAACTATGTGTTTTCATAATGTGGAGACTTTTGCTTTTTGAGTGCTTCTCCACAGTATTCATATACAACCAAGTCACAATATCACTGTCATCGGCTGGAATTAAACTGACTGTGCTGGCATTGCAGTGAGATGAGACCAACTGCAGATTTACGGAAGCATCTCCTGAGTTATATCTGAATATCAGATGATTTGCAGCCAGGTCTTTGTTTCAGGGATTATTTCACTTACAGTAAGCAATCCTTAGATACTTTGATTTACTGCTTTGATGGTGAAGTATCCTTAAATTAGTATATAAGTTTTAAAGCACAGGTCTTTTACTTTTAAACTATGGTTTTGTTTTTTAAAACCTCCAAAACTAGTAAATAATTTTGAAAAAAATGAACAATTCCTGTTAAGACTGCCTCTTCTTAGACAAATCCTTAGTAGTACCTGCTTCCATTTTGTTCTTGACTATGTTGGCATTAATATAAGTGAATGACGATCATAGAATCATAGAATGGTTTGAGTTAGAAGGGACCTTAAAGATCATCTAGTTCCAACCCCCCTGCCATGGGCAGGAATACCTTCCCCTAGATCGAGTGGCTGAAAGCTTCATCCAGCCTGGACTTGAACACTTCCAGGGATGGGGCATCCACAACTTCTCTGCACAACCTGTTCCAGTGTTTCACCACACTCAGGGGAAGAATTTCTTCCTTATATCTAATCAAAATCTGTCCTCTTTCAGTTTAAAGCCATTGCTCCTTGTGCTATCACTAGATGGCCTTGCAAAAAGTCCTTCTCCAGCTTTCCTGTAGGCCCCCTTTAGGTGCTGGAGAGCTGCTAGACGGTCTCCTCAGAGCCTTCTCTTCTCCAGGCTGAACAGCCCCAACTCTCTCAGCCTGTCTTCATAGCAGAGGTGCTCCAGCCCTTGGATCATCTTCGTGGCCCTCCTCTGGACCTGCTCCAGCAGCTCTATGTCCTTCTTATGTTGGGGGCCCCAGAGCTGGACACAGTATTCCAGGTGGGATCTCACAAGAGCAGAGTAGAGGGGCAGAATCACCTCCCTCAACCTGCTGGCCACACTTCTTTTGATGCAGCCCAGTATACGGTTGGCTTTCTGGGCTGCAAGCATGCATTGCCAGCTCATGTTGAGCTTCTCGTCAACCAACACCCTCAAGTCCTTCTCAGGGGTGCTCTCAATTCATTCTCTGCCTGACCTGGATTTGTACTTGAGATTGCCGTGACCATGTGCAAGACCTTGCGCTTGGCCTTGTTGAACTTCATGAGGTTCTCACAGGCCCACCTCTCCAGCCTGTCAAGGTCCCTCTGGATGGCATCCCTTCTCTCCAGCGCATCAACCACACCACACAGCTTGGTGTCATCAGCAAACTTGCTGAGGGTGCACTCGATCCCACTGTCCGTGTCACCCACAAAGATGTTAAACAGCACCAGCCCCCATACCGACCCCTGAGGAACACCACTCGTCACTGGCCTCCACTTGGACATCGAGCCGTTGACTCCAACTCTTTGAGTGCGACCATCCAGCCAATTCCTTACCTGCTGAGTGGTCCATCTGTCAAATCCATATCTCACCAATTTAGAGACAAGGAAGTCATGCAGGATAGTGTCAAGCGCTTTGCACAAGTCCAGGTAGATGGCATCAGTTGCTCTTCCCTTATCCACCAACACTGTAACCCTGTCATAGGTGGTGACCGAATTTGTCAGGCACAATTTGCCGTTATTGAAGCCATCCTGGCTGTCACTAATCACCTAATTTTCCATGTCCCTTAGCATAGTTTCCAGGAGAATCTGCTCCATGATCTTGCCGGGCACAGAGGTGAGACTTACTGGCCTGTAGTTCCCCGAGTCTTGCTTTTTTCCCTTTTTGAAAATGAGGGTTATGTTCCCCTTTTTCCCATTGGTGGGAAATTCAGCAGACTGCCACGACTTCTGAAATATGATGGATAGCGGCTTAGCAACTTCATCTGCCAGTTCCCTCAGGACCCGCGGATACATCTCATCAGGTCCCATGGACTTGTGCACCTTCAGGTTCCTTAGATGATCTTGAACCTGATCTTCTCCCACGGATCAATTAATGCAAAGATACCCAAGTATTCATGTTAATGTTTGTCAAGTTTCTCTAATGTATTCAACTGAGCCCAAATGTTTTATTCTTAACTGGCTGCTGTAATAAAGCAGGGAGGTTACTGAACAGTGGTAAAAGTAACTTACAGCTGTTTGAAACTTATAACTCAAAGCCAGCGTTCCAAAGTCATGCACTATCACTTGCCATTGATAGCAGAAGTTCTCAGCAGCTTCCTTCTATTTGTGCAGAAAAATAATTTGACTAGCTGGCAGTAGTTCTCGTATAAGGAAGGATAGGACTGTTGTCCTGACCGTGACAATCTGAGAGGAGAAATCAGTAGGAATCATCAACTAATATGCAGCTCTTTGTCTTATAAAGACTTGTAAGTCAAATGACTCACACTAATTTACCCAGCTTCTGTTTAATAGAGTTGCTGTCAATTTTAATTTTCAAGTGACAGTCTAAAGTTTGACTCAGTAGTTGAGTTGATAGTTTCAGTCATCTCTTCTTTAAGACAGCTGCTGACCTAATTTGCTACTTCACTGTAGCTGTGTGGCATTGCAAACATTGAGTCCTGGTCTTTGAAAAGTTCAGTGTAGGCAAAGGAGTAAAAGTTAACAATCTACGGAAAGAAAATTAGTTCTCAAAAACCTTGCGTCCAGTTTCTTTCCTGTTTAAGAGCAGCGGTATAAATCTCGATCGGTTTGATGAAAATACATAAACCGACTTGAATGCTAAAATGAAGAACAATGAGGTGACCTGAATAGTGCTAATTAGCTTTCATAAAGCTCAGGAATATGCATAAAACTTTAAAAATAAACCCAAATATTTTCTGGAAAGGTGAATATGGAAAATAATCCTTTCCATTTTGTGTGACTTAATGCTTAAGCTGAAACCAGAATTCATGGAGTCCTCATGAAGTACGCTACTTCTTATCCACAGGATGGTTCCTTTAATTTGTTCTCTGATCCCCCAGTCACGAAACCAATGAAGTGATGAAATGGGCCATTTCCTTGAGTTACTTATTTTTTGCTCAATCTGAGAGAATATTTAGCCAGAATATTTGAATTCAGTCCTCCCTTTCAAGAATTTAACTGGAGTAGTTATTTACCGATGGTTCCCT